GAATGTGCTAAAAATTTTGAAAAAATAAATGAAAAATTTGTATAAAAATAAAGTAAATTAATAAAATAAAGGATAAAAATAAGTAAAATGTTTAAAAAGCTATAATAAAAAATTAAATTCTTGTTATTTTTATAAATGAATTTGCTAATTTCTATTTCACTATTTTTCATCTCTGTTTTATTTAACATCAAAATAATTGAAATGAAACATTTTCAGTACAATTTTGAATGTAGATTCTTGAGGGATTATCCTGCTTACTCTTTAAAATGGAATTTTCAGACTTGTCTTTTACCTTTTTATATGACAACATCAAATTTTCAAATATATTTTTGCTAATGATGAATAAAAATCTCAAACGTTTTTTTAAAGTAATTTCTTATCCTCAGTTTGTTGCTATAAAAATAAACTCAAAAAATAATAAGAAAAAATATTAAATTTTTAACATAAAACATATGATGAATATCATAATCTTTGTTAAATAATTTATGGGGCATACAAAATTTTATTATGTCCTTAAAAATGAATATTTTCAAAGAATGTGAAAATATATTAAAACAAAGGATGAGGAAGAGGAAAGATCTACTCACTGTAAAGTAGTGAATCAAAAAATATAGCATTTACAATATTGCTTCTTTTTTGCTATATTTTTCAATTCTCTACTTTACAGTGAGTAATATTTTTTATTCTGATTACCCTTGCTCTACTGCTCCCATTGTTTTAATATATTTACATATATTTACATATATTTATTTATATACTTTTAAAATGTTCATTTTTAAAGCTATAATAGAATTTTTATTCTAACTGAAAATTTTTAACATTTAAATGAATCTATTATATTCTTCTCTGTTTGTGAGTTAGATTCTCACTGGGTGCCCATACTTGTAACTTTGTATCATGTTTCACTTTTGGGACCATTTTTTATTTCTCAGTTACAGTGGTACTCTAAAATTTTATTTTTACAGATGGTTATAACTAACATTCCTACTTTGTCAATGATGGCTTGGATAGAAAATTATGTTTCTAGCATCAGTAACAAAGGCACATGAGCTAAACTTTCATTAACATTAGAATATATTTACTACAGTCAATATTTAGCCACCAATATTGCAGTTAGAACTTTGCAAAAAATAAGCATTGATGGAACAAAAATAAAAGAATGGCAAAGTAAAAGGAATCTGATTTTACCAGAAATATTTTGTTGGAATTTTTAAAAAATGAATAATATTGTAAATAAATATATGAAAGATTGAAAAATGAAGGACAAGGATACAGCAGATTTGTACAAAGAGATGAAAGAAATAGTAAGACTGAAAACATGCTCTTTGGTAGGATGTGTAAAATCTAAAGAGGGAACAAATAGCATAAAAAAACATTCTTCAATCGTAGAATGAATACATAGGAGAATACAATAATAAAAAATAGAAACCTACAATTCACAAATGCATGGAATGACATGTGCTACTAAAATCTGAAGTAAGGACCACAACAGCCAAGATAAAAAGGAACAAAGCAGCAGGACTGGATGAATTTCTCATAGAATTTCTGATTTCTGATTATAGAATTGACAAAGTTACTAAAGTAGCAGAATACTGGCAGATCTGAGTAGGTCAATTTTCATAACAGATATTAAAAGAAAAATAGGTGGAAATGAATGGGAACTTCACTGAACAATCAAACTGATGAACCAAATAATAAAAATAATAATATGAATTGTAATGAATAAAGCTTAGAAGAATTAGACCAGTAATAATGGATGTTAAAATAAGAAATGCACTTTTTATGGATAGAATGCTGAAAGAATAAGCAGAAAAAATCTATACCTGCATTTCATAAAATACAAAAAGGCATTTTAGCATGTCTTGAGATATTAAGAAAACTTGAACTACATGGAAAGTAAGTATGAATAATTTATAATCTGCATTAGGAATGCAGCTTGTATGTGAACAGAGATCAACTGTGTAGAGGGGTACAACAATTTTTACCAGGTCTTTTTAATCTGTATGGTGATATTATTCTCAGAATTAGAGAGCATACTAGGATTTATTATCAATAGACATAGCCATAACAAGATATGTTTATGGCACTTTATTTATGGCAGATTCAGAAGAAAAACTGAAATAATTATCAAACAAAGTAGTTGAGGAAAGCAAGAAGAAAGATCTGACCAATAATTTTAAGACAAGATTCTTAGTTGTGAGCAAAAGATGCAGCTCAGATGTAAGGTATTCAATGGGAATGATAAAAATCAAGTAGATACAGAAATTCAAACCTCTGGGCAATGGACAGATAACAAATATGTTAAAGAAATTCAAGAGTGTATATGAACAGCAAAGATACTTTTCATAAATTAATGTTTGTTTTTAAATATCATATCCCTTCAGGATATAAGCAATCATGGCTCTCCATTGCTTTCTTGGGAAAGATAGCGGTTTCCTGTTTCTCTATGATTTTGAATTCAGAGTTGTCATTTTTCTGCCACTCAAAGCAATCTACCCTGTTATTTAATCCATAAATAATGGAGAAGGATTCATGCCTTTTCTAAGAGATTTAGGGCAAAAATAACTACAACAGAGTAGGTGGGGATTTGAACTCTGCTTATCAATCCTATGCCAATGATCATTAGATTCTCACTGCACATTAAGGGAATGAAAAATAGCATGAGAAAAATGAAAAAAGACTGTAAGATTGCTATTTCATATCTATCTTCTGATATAACAATGAATGCTGGATAATTTTATTACAAAAGAGAAATATTTTGAAACTATCATGTTGTGGTTATATTGATGAGTGTTGAAAATACCATAGACAAAATGTGACAATTGCAGAAGCTTTCAGGAACAGTAAGGAAACTGTCATTAGCAAAAAAAATAAAAGCCACAGCAGGAATTTTTCAGACACATTATGAGGAAAGGTTTAGAGAATTTAACACTCAATGAAAGAAAAGTAACTTGACAAATTTGTGCAAACAGATGGGAGGGCCTAGTAGAGCAATGACAAAGAGAAGGAAATACTATTGTGAGAAACAAAAGAGCAGAAACTGCAGAGGATCTGGATCACTCACATCCTGAAGGGACATATTACACACACACACACACACACACATGAGAGACAGAAATTACTTTCTATTGTTAAAGTGCAAAAGATGAACTTTCCACTTTTCAAAATAAATATTAGCATAAGAAATAAATCAGGTTGGTTAGCTTAGAAATAATGTTCACAATAGACATGAACATCTAAATGAGACAATTATTGTTTGAATTCATTTTTATATTTTATCTTTAGAAAATAAATGATATTCTTACAACAAAAAATTTGCTCTTATCCTGAAAAATGAGAACATTAATCTGTAAAATCTCAGTAAATGAATAAAAAGTTTCTAAAATAAACCAAAAAAACATTTGTTCAGAAAGGAAATGGAATCAGTACACACTTTTGTCACATTCTAACCTAATTTAATTTAAAAGATATGTCCCAAACTCCAAATTGTTTTATGATATATGATAATATTTACAACATATTTGAGCAAACGGGAGGTATACCCAAGAGGTAAAAACAGGGTGTGTTGCCAACTACACCAGAAGGCAACTGCTCGACTATTCCTCTGTGATTTTCGTTAATGTTCTTTTATAGCCCGTAGCCTTTTATCCAGTTTTTAGCAAATCTTGCTTTGCTAAAACAAATATAAATTCATTTATGAATTCATTACATATAGAAGATTAATAACAAAAAGAAACAAAACCACAGCTGAAATGTATTCTTTAAATAAGAGAATGTGAAAAGCAATCTGCAGGTGGACATTTGGGTGTGGTTCTATCGGATTAGACAATTGTTCTCCATCAGAGAACTTATAGCAAAATGAAAAAGAAAAAAATGAAGAAACTTGTATAAATATTAGAAAAGTTAACATCCAAGTAAAATGTTTTGCTATCTTCCTTTATGAATAAGGAAACTTCATGAGTCTTATAGAGCAATATATATATATATATATATATATATATATATATATATATATATATATATATATATACACACACACTAATGGAATAATTATATAAGGCTATTTAATTCATTAATGAAATTACAGTGTATTAAAAGGACAAAACACATTTGTCAGTTGGCATTTAGGGAATCATTTGGATGACCTAAATGAACAGTTCTTTGTGAATCTATTTAAAGATAGACAGTGTGGAATAATATAGATATGAATTAAAATAACCATGGCATTCTACGATTTAATGGTTAAAACTCTAGTTTCCTCAGACAACTGACTCACTTTTATATAAAGGTCTCTCAAAAAGCAAGTTTATAAAACATTTTTTTGGTTGCAAATTATATCTTTGACCCATCAAACATTCAATTTCAGCAAATGCTAACTTACATGAAAAGGTTTTTTTCTTAATTATAAAAACATTACTAATTCATACTTCAAAAACATACAGAATTTTTCTTCAAAAGTATTTTTATAAGTTTATAGTTATAATTAATTTATGATTAAAAGCAGCTCTTTGTGTGTTTTTAATGCATGTCTTTTATCAAAACATAGTTGTAATTTTTTCTTCAAATATAAAAATCCATCTTTATCTGGTCAGTTATAAACTTTTTCATTAACACTTGAAAACATCACCAAACAAAACCAGCAACAGGAACAAACAAAAATTGTTTATTAATGTAAATATTGCAGAAGGCACATTATATTTTTATCATTAATCATATTTAAATTTGAATTTTTAATACATTTCTTTTTTTGTCATCTTTTTCCTACTGTGTTTCTTTTAACAATAAAAATATCATTTAGATATTTTTACATAAATTATGAAAATTATTGCATTATTCTCATTTTACTTCAGCAATACAGAAAGAATGGAATTTTGATGCTTACAATATATTTGAAAATTTTGACTGCATGTGTCCAGTTTATATACTTCATTCGACAATCAGCATTAGATATACATATATGAATATATTCACAGGTCAATATAAACATTTTTGTTACTTACTTTGTTGTTCTATTTCTCTCAAAGACTTTTGTTCATAGAGTGTTCTCTGAATAAGTCCATCATCTTCATCCAATGCCAACCACCTGTTGCAAACAAACATCTGCTTGATACCAGTAGATGGACAGTCAACAATTACATGATTCACCAACCAGCCAGGTGTCCTGCCAGAATTATCATGACCAATGTCTAGCTTACTCAATGGACTTAAGAGTTTGGGGACAGTTATATTAAAGTTGTCACTTTTGCCACGTTCAAACTTTCCATCTTTAAGCCAAATCTTGCCACTGCTTGTTTTCTTTTTATTACTGTCATAGAGGCAAATAAAGACATTAGCACTGGTACCTGCATGTCTCATATCACTAGTAACCACTGTAATGGCAAAAAGGTGACCTGCAAAAAGGAAGAATATAAAAAAAGTAGCAGACATTGAGTGCTGGTGGTAATAAAATGGTACTTGCTGATTATATTGTTCCCATAAATAAATGAACAGCTCCACTATCTTAAAAGCATATTATAAATATCAATATTTTGAATTTTACAATGGTTAGTTTTCAATCTGCACTGGATGATTGCATCAGTCAAATGGTGAGAAAAGAAGTTTATTTATCATTAGTATAAATATGTAAAATTTCAGATATAAATAAAAATATGTCTATAAAAGAACAATAGGAATTAAGGATAAAATGTTTTTTACTTCACACATTTCATCTTCTGATGGACTTTATCAAGGCAAATGTTAAGATTTTATTTTGCAAAAATAAAAATGTCATTAGATTTTCAGAATTTTTAAATTTAAGAATGCTCATAAATATACATCAGGCCGACTGAAAAGACAAGGTAAATGATGGAAGATGCTAAGTGATGTAATTTAATGTCTAATAAACAAAAGTGAGTAAATGTTGTTTTTGAATTTTTTATAATGTAATTAATATTTATATTATTTTACACTATTTAAATTGCTTGGACTATCATCCTCATGTTTATCAGAACGTTTCGGCCATTGTACAGTCCGGCCTTCTTCAGGTGGTTGGAATGTTGAACTGAACCCTTTATTTCGCTCACTGGGGTAGACTGTTCTAGTTCCACATGCCATGTCTAATGGATGTCAGTTATCAGTTATCTCCTGTTAATTCCCCTCTCCAAGTTCTCCACTGCCTTAACTAGGTATTGAACTCTGAATTTAAACATTTTTATAGTCATGTATGTTGGCTTGAAAAGTAGTATTTCTTTCAGGAACAGAAATATTTGAATATTGCTCATTGCATCTGGTTGAGCAGATGCTTTCAATACTGTTGACAGACAACAATGTCTGGAGTCAAAAACTACCATTTGATGTTAATTATGTGTGTCTGGCATTTTTGGTGGAATTGCTTGAGCCATTTTATTTGCCTTAAGTTTGTTGTTCATGTTTCAGAAGAGTGTGTCTGTTATGACGCAGGTCATCTACACACTCACTTTACTGGTGGTAATGTTTCTTGCTGACCAAACTCTATGTTCCAATTTACCAAATGCAACACTTGCTTTCTGAATGCATGAAAAAATCTAATTGTCACAAAAAATCACACTGTCTTGTGATATAGTATTTTCAAGATATGGAAAATGTAAACATCCTCCAGCCTGATATTTTTCACAAGTATTGTTGGTTCTTTGTAGGGCACACACCAGGTATAGAGGAATGAACATCACTTTTGTCTTCTTCAGGCTAATCTTCAGTCCAAAAGTAGCACAAATGGCAGAGAAGTAATCCATTAGGAGTTGCAAATCTTTCTTTGCTGCAAAGTCTGCATCATCAGCATATAGCAAATCTCAGATCAGGCAGTAAATGTTATTGGATTTGGTGTTGAACCTTCTGAGATTGAACACTCTTCCTTTATGTTCTAAATTTTGAGTAGATTCATGCCTTTGAAGGCATGTGGTAAGAGCACAGCAAAGTAGACAGAAAAAAAGTTTTGGTACAAGAATGTCACATTGGTTTACCCTATTGTCCAATACAATCTCATGAAAGCGAGCCGTTGAATGTGAAATGAGCCTTTATATCAGTTTGTAGCTGTTTCACCAAGTTGACAAAAAGTCAGTGGATAAACAATCTTACCAAGAATACTTCTCAAGGCATCATGATTTATGGTGTCAAAAGCCTTGGTCAAATCCATGAAAACCTGGTACAATGGTACTCACTATTCAATGCATTTCTTCTGCAGCCATCTTACTGAGAAAATCATATCCATAGTACAAACTCTGAAACTCCCTCCTGTGTCTGAAATAACTTTGTTAGCTTATTCAGCAAGATCCTTGCAAATACCTTACCAGATGATTCAAGAAGGATGATAACTCAGTAGCTATCATATACAGGTTTTAAAGATTAAAAGCAGGATTTCATCAATTCAATCCTGAAGCACAGGAGTGCTTTCCCAGACCAGAGTCATCAAATCAAAGATAGCTGAAGCAACACAGTCCCCACCAAAATGCAGTAATTCCACTGGAATGGCATTAAGTCCAGGTGACTTGCTGATGTTGATTTGCTTGATGGTGAGCTTTACATCTTGAAGAGTGGGCAGGATGCTTATTTGATGAAGTAACTCATTCTGTGAGAAATTATCTATTACTGTGAATTCAAGAATAAGTTGGTAAAATGTTCAGTCCATCATCTCAGTATACTTTCATGATCCTTAATAGTTGTTTTGCTGCTACCAAGGGATTTCAGTGGAACAACAGGTGATGTGTTAGGACCAAAAACTTGATGCAAAATGCAATACAAAGTTTTTGAGTCATTTTTTTAATTGAACTCACCCAGTGTAAGGCAATAAAGCCACTAAGACACAAGGGGATACTGAGTGTGAGATAATTAGAAAACAGAAGCATTATTGAGGAGTGAGAACAATAGAAGTACTGCGGTTAAATTCATAAAATCTAGGTACCATAGCATAGAGCTCATCCAAATAATTACCATGAAAGCATTTATAGAAAAGGCACAGGGAAGCAACTTTATGGCAGTGGGAAAGTGAATGAAGCTGAAATGTCAGATCAGGACCAATAATATTACTGATTTTGGATTTTATCAAGAATCTTTAAATATAAATCAGGAGCACCAGACCATATATGTCAGAAATATTCTAAGTATGGTAGACTTATACATATGTAAGATAGATTCAGAAGAGAAAAATTATCTAGCATGACAGTGAACCAACTTTCTTGCAGCAGACTGAGCAATGAATTCAATAAAGTCTTTCCACTTCATGTCAGCCAAGAATGTTAACCTGTTGAACTTCTTTCAAGGTGTTACATCACTAATTATTTTTCATCTTTCTGAGCTCATGTTGAAGGTTTCCTTTGTATTCTTTAAGAGCTTGTTTCACGGCTGGATTCTTTTACTGAGGACCTGCTTAACAGATAAAGATGAAGAGTGTATTTTGATTTTGAGTAACCTTTTAATATTTCCATTTTCATCAAACCAATTGTTATGATGTTTCTTGACAAAACTCAACAGTTCAGCTCCAGCTTGATAAAATTGTGTTTTAAAATCTTCCCATGTCCCATCAAAAGTAAAAATATTTATCTTGTCGGCTAAAATTGAGCTTCCAACTGTGTCAGTTTGGACACATCATGACGTTTGTGAATTTTCACCCTATTTATCTGAATCTTTTTTGAATACAAAGTTTGAATTTCCCTTGTCCCAGTTTGTGATCTGTGTCATTTTCAGCACTATGTAGAACACAAACATTGCAGATATCTTCAATGTCTCTCCCCTTACTTATAAAATCTATTAAATGGCTATGTTTCAATCTGGGATGAGTCCAGGTAAACTTATGCTTCCCTTTTGATTGCAAGATCAAACAGAGAACAGAAATCAAGTAGAAATAATCCATTGCTATTCATCTTTCCAATGCCATAGGAGCCAAGAGCCTCCAAATCTCATGTTGTCTCTCTACTCTTGCATTAAAGTCGCCAAAGACTATCAGTTTCTCTTCTTTTGGGATTGATCTTATAGCATCTGCAAGAGCTGTATAGAAAGACAATATTTTCTTGCTGTTCTATATTTTGGGCAGTTTGTGTTTTCACAATCCAGGAGAGTTTTTACATTCCAACAACCAATGTTCAGTTGAAATCTTTCAGAAATTTTCTCGTTTTGTTCTTGCATTAAATGAACCACTGTTAGCCACACTAAATTAAACAGCTTGGTTTGAACAGGCAATGTTTGATGCAACATTTTTTGAAATGTCACAAGAATCTGGGTGAGCAGTACTCTCCCTAAATAGGTGTTGCTCAGATGCAGGAAACTCCACCCAAATCCATCCATCTTTACAAAGACATGATTACAACATTAAGATAAATCTCCTGAAGCCCATATGCAGATTCATGATTATATGCTTCCAACAAGTTACCATCCTGGGTATGATGATAAACTACATCCGCATCCTGGGTATGATGATAAAATATATCCGGAAATAAGGCTTCTGATCAAGAGGTTTTGAGGAGTGTGAAACCACATCTTACTTGCTGGTGTTTCCAAGTCCACCCTGAGGTAGCACCTGTTAGGGTCCCAGCTATGGGACCCTAACAGGTGCTACCTCTAACCCCTAAACTGGGGTCAAAACACTATGATGGTGTAAAAATAGGTTTTAATACCAGCAATACATTATTACCAGCAATACAGTTTTGGAAAAAAAATTACCAGCAATACATTTTGTAAAAAGATTATTACCAGCAATAAAAATCTTGTTGGCATTAAATAATCCATTGGGGTTGATGTGCCATAGACCAAACCAAACTCAACCAGTTAAGTCTTCTCCATCACTATGGGACTTTTAATTAAACACTTTCATCTACCAGAATGTTTTCCTTTTCTCACAACCCCATATCTTTAATATCGGTATCAAATTTTTTACTTAGCTTACTAGGACCAACCAACATCTTTTACCACATTACACTATGGATTGCTTTTTTGAATGTGTATTATAATCAATTCTATGGTTTCAATTGATGGATCTTTTGTTGGGGCCATGTTTCCTTTGAAATAGATTTTGGAGATCTGCAAGAATTCTCTTTTAACTGTAAACTGATTTGCATATTTAGTTTTATGCTGTTGTAATGCAAATTAGAAAA